TCTGTACTTCCAAACAACCATGACCTAAACCGTATTATGATTTTTTTTTAAACAAATTGATTCCTTATTAAAGTCATGAAAGCAGCTGGGCATGGTGGCTCACACCTGTAATCCAAGCACTTTGGGAGGCCAAGGTGGGTGAATTGCCTGAGGTCAGGAGTTCAACACCAGCCTGGCTAACACGGTGAAACCCTCTCTCTACTAAAAATACAAACAAATTAGCTGGGCGTGGTGGCACACACCTGTATTCCCAGCTACTCGGGAGGCTGAGGCAGGATAATCGCTTCAACCCAGGAGGTGAAGGTTGCAGTGAGCCGAGATGGAGCCACTGCACTCCAGCCTGCGACAGAGGGAGACTTGGTCTCAAAATAAGTAAATAAATAAAGTTATGAGACCACTAACTTTTATATCATTTTAGCTATTATACAGGAATATTTCTTTTGATAACCCAACAATTTACTGTGGAAAATTTTTAATATATGTAAAAGTAGAGATTAGTAAATACTGCCCCCACATATCCACCGCCCAGCTAATTATTCAAGAATGACCAATTGTGTTTCTTCCTCATGCCCACACATTTGCTGCTCCTCACTAGATTATTTCAAATTGTAAGTAAGAGAGTAACATTTCCTTAACATCAAATAGCTAGTCATTTAAAAATTTCCCCAGTTGTCTTTTGATGTTTCTGGTATAGCGGTTTATTTGATCTATATTTAAACAAGATTCATGGATTATATTTGGATGATATGTTTCTGAAGTCTCTTAGTTTATACGTTAACTCTTTTTTAAAATTTCTTTATATTGATTTGCTGAAGAAGCTCAGTTGTTTTGTCCTGTATTTTCTTGTCTGTATATTTTCCGACTGACTGTGTCTTCTTGGTATCATTTAACATGCTCCTCTGTCTCTTTTTTCCCTTAAATCTGGTAGCTAGATACAGAGCTTGGTGCGATTGCTTTCTTGCTTCCTTTCTTTCTTATAAACAATATTTCATTAGTTGTATGTAATGCTTCCATCACAAAACACAGACTCTGGTTATCTCCTTTTGTGTGATTTTAGTGACCATTGATGATCATTGGCTGGATCCAACATTGCATTAGGGGTTTGCAAAATGGTAATTTTATTATTTCACCACTTTTAATTGATTAGCTGAAGTATGAACATATATAGAACAATTTCCCCTCATCAACTATTTAGTGGATGAACTATTTGGTTGATGAAATAGGTTTCATACAGGAAAGGCAGATTAAATGCCTAAGTTGTCCCTTTATTAGTTTTCAGAATATAATTACAACATTTCCCAATGTAACTGATGAATTTTTCTTTTTAGTATCCTTATGAACTCATGAATTTTGACGTTAGATGTATTTAAACATATTGCACTCTTCTCCATTTTACTTTTTCAACTTACACTGTATCCTACAGGTTGTTCTGTTGCATATAAAAACATGTATTTAATTTTTTACAGCTTCATACATTTGCATTGTGTGGATGTACCATATGTTATTCAATCAGTATCTTCTTGATGAACATTAGGCTTTACAGCTTTTTGATAATATGAAAGTGCTACAGTGAATGTGGAAATGTAAACAATTCATATCCAAATGTATTGCTGGTAAAGACATCTAGAAATGGAATTCTTGGGACAGAGGGCAAATGTATACGTAATTTTGCTTAATATTGCCAAATTTCCCTATATAGGTATTGTGCCATTTTACAAATGCTCTTCTAATTGCATAAGGAAAGACTGGAAACGTTTATGTAGAGTATAATGAGTAAATATGATACAAAGTTAGCAGACAAAAAGAATTATCTAAAATATATATAGCATTTTTATTTAAGCTCCTCTTCTTTTTGACAGCTATTTGTTTATATAATAACTCTGTCTTGATAAAAACTTGATAATATTTACTAAGTCTAATACATTACAATTATATAATGCAGCATTACCAATATTCAAACACGTTCTCATTTATTAAGTACTATTATTTAGGAAGCAAGCTTTGTTTCCATATAATTCACCTTGTTATCATAAAACTTGACAAGAACAGAAGTTATAAATGTGTTCATTGTCCAGACCTCATAGTAGACCTTAGTCCTTTTTTTGTCATAAACCATAATCTATACATTATAATACCATCTGAGAAAGTTAGTTACTAACTTTTAAACTAGAGAATAGTGAACAAATGTAAATGTTCTTTTAAATATTTAGATTTTTTTCTTAAGGGTGTCTTAACATGGATTGATACACTCCCATGGCATAAAGCTATTAAGTAATTAGCAATGAGATGACTGATAAAACCCAGGGTAATAGTCCTGTGTTCTTCTTAAACCATGACTCCTAAATCTGCTTTTCTTTATTGATATAACGAGGGGAGAATTAATTTTAAAAGGTGGTGGCTATTGATTACTTAATGGAAGAAGATAGTGTAGCAAAATGCTGAAGCGAGTCTATTCTGTGCCCTCCTGTGCAACAGGACCCATTATCCAGTTGTGGAAATCATACCCTAACTCTCATTCATATTTAACAGGCTATATGTAGGCTACAAAATTGCCTTAGGCATGGGCTCCAATCGGCCATAGAATGGTTTTAAGTATAAAAAAGAGTAATAGATTTCCATGTGTTCAGATTGTTTATAAGCTGGACAACAATAGGCTCAATTCCTTTCTGCGACTGCTGAGCATTGGCGGCCAGATGGAAATACCTACCAGGCAAGTTGGAGTGATTAATATTCTGAGAAGCCACTCTAGGCTAGTAAGTACTACATTAGAAGACTTTGTATTTTCCAGTGTGGTTCTCAGTTTCAGCCTTCGCTTCTGCTCCTCTCACCACAGGCTGAAGGGCCTGTTCAGCAGGGGTGGCCAGTCAGCAAAAGGTGTTAATTGTGTCTAACACAGCTATCATCCTTGGGGCAATATTCTGTATCACACCGTCAATCAAGCTAACCCCTTGTCACACGTCAGGATCTTTTTATTTCAGTTCATTTAAAAGGGAAACAAACATTTTTAAAGATAACTGGTAGGGAGGCATGAGAGCTTCCAGGGATTAGGAGCCCTTGAAGCTGCCTTTTACTGAAACGGGCTGTGATTTCTGAAAGGACAATATAGTAGGTCCTCCAATAACATCATTTTCTCCAACATCATTTTGTTATAATAACATTGATGGAGGAAAAAAATCAGTTCCTGACCAGGGTCACTGTCACTGCAGGGTTTGCACAGTCTTCTCATTTCTGTGTGGGTTTCCTCCCACATCCCAAAGAAAGGAATGTCAGGTCAATTGGCGTGTCCAAATTGTTCCACAATGAGTGAGTGTGGATGTGGGCTTCATCGTGCCCTGTGATGACAGCACTCTGTCCAGGGCTGGCTCCTGCCTTGTGTCTTGAGTTGTGGGGATAGGCTCTGGCCACTCACGGCAACCCTGAGCTGGAATAACTGGGTAAATAATTATGTTAATTTTTAAAATTAATTTTTCTTAAATGTGTGTATGGATCGCATTTGTTTCAGTGTTTACCATTAGAAATGTTTGGGTCTTTATTTAGAAATTTGATAATGTTTTTGTGACAAGAAATGGATCATAGGAACTTGTTATTTGAACTTGTTATTTCAAGCAGCCTATGGTAAAGAGGATTTTATTACACCTGGTTTTGCTTAAGGTAGCAATTTCCGAGATCCCATCAACAGCATTAAGTGAGGCCTTGTTGTACAAGGCTTTATAGATTACTGACTCCCATTATTAATTTTCTAAATTACCAGATTATATGTCAGTACCACCAGTTTATTTTTAAAATATGATAAGCTTGAAATAAGATAAAGTCCTTTAGAAAGAAAATATTCTCGGGATTTATGAGTACACAAAGAACACAGCATCAGATATCCACCATCCCAAACAATGCATAGAATTAGATAGTGAAAAAATATCAATTTTTTGACTCAATGACTCTAAAGAATTTTTAAATGTGTTTAAGGGATTCATTTATTTTGTCACCTATCAGAAATTATTTATAATTACCTGCCTAGAATGAGTTGCATAATAAAAATTCAGCTTTGTTAGCAGAAGGTATTCAAGGCAACATCTTCTATTAACATACTGAGCTTTTTCTCAAAACAGTGAATGAAACTGACCCAGAGGTCTCATTGTAATTCTGTATTGAATGTGGAAAAATTCCGTTTTACTCCCAACCTTGGACTGTGCATACCTAAATGCTGCATTCAATTTATTAATAAGTCTATGTGTGTGCCTTCTTTTTCTGATATCCAGCAGAGAATTTCAAATGATCAAGAGTTGGTAATAGAAAATGCGCTTATGTTCTTTTTCTTTTTTTAATAAACTTGATCTTTTATTTTCATTTCTATTTTAAGTTTCGGGGTACATGTGCAGGATGTACAGGTTTGTTATTTAAGTAAACATGTGCCATGGTGGTTTGCTACACCTGTCAACCCATCACCTAGGTATTAAGCCCATCATGCATTAGCTATTTTTCCTGATGCACTCCCTCTCCCCGCCCTCCACCCCACAGGCCCCAGCGTGTGAACAAACTTGATCTTTTGAGGCATAATGATGAATCTACTCAGATGCTTGCTTTTTGTTTGTGTGTTTTGTTGTTGTTGTTATTTGTTTATTGGTTAGGTGGTTAGTACCACATGCTGTTAAGTTTGTGGTTAGCTCATTTCAAGAAGCTTTAGTTTAGAATTCATGGATTCTTCAGCTGCCGCTTCGAAGAACAAAATTAAAATCAAAAATTTAAAATAATTTAACCAAGATTTTCTCCGAGGTGCTTACTTAACACTATAACATAAAACATAGGAAGACGTTTTATCAACTGTAAATATAGAAGTGTTAATAGGTATACCTTCACAGCCTTTGGATATTCCAGAGAGAAGAGCTTCTTAAAGCCTGTATTTGCAAGAGATGGTGCTTAATAAACTATAATCTAATATACTTATCAGTTTGGGCAGTGAAAATAGCAACCTCTAAGTTTCCTTTTTCTTTTCTATTTTATAGCGAAGCAGCAGTTTTGGGAATTTCGATCGTTTTCGGAATCATTCTTTATCAAAACCAGATGATTCAACTGAGGTTGGTAGTTTATTCCATTTTTATGAATGTTATGCAAACACATTATGAAATATTATGAAGACAATGTCACTTTTGCAAAGTAAAATAAGAAAAATACATTTTAAAATTATAGCCTTGCATGTATTTTTGTGATAAGTGAACAAACCATTATTTCGTACTGTTGTAGAAAGCAATGGGTTCTTGTCACACGACCAGGAAAATTTAGGCACACAGACACATTGTAGGGTGAGTAAGGCAGGGTTTATTGCGTGAAAAGGAAAAAAAAAAAAAGAGGAACTTCCAGCAAAGCGAGAGTCCTGCTAGTAGGACCCTACCTTACAGATTGAATCCCAGGCCACCACATAGCAGCAAAAGAGGCCAGGCTCCCCCAGGCAGCAAACCGCGTGAACTTCCCATAGCTCCACCCCTTCCCCCAGTGCACAGGTGGGCATTATTGAGAAAGAATCAGTGGAGAAAGGGTGAGCTTCATCCAGGATCAGCAGTCTGGTTTTACAGCCTTCAAGCTGTTTCAGGCTTGAAGGCGAGGTTTCGCAAAGGACTCTTGGCTGTTTCCTGCCTCTATCAGTACCCAGTACCATGCTGGGCATTAAAAGTAAATTCCTATTTTAAGAAGCCTAACAGATGTTTGGGAAAGCAAAACATGAAACTGAAAAGATAGAATTCAAAGTGACACTGACAATTCCAAATTTCCTGAGTATTTCTACTATAAAACAATGTGTGTATACATATACGTACACACACACACACATTGTGTTTATACACATTATTTGATAGATATATGTAAAAGTTTATGTCAGTTGTAATTGCTTTAAATTAGAACAAGATAAGATTAAGCGGCCTGACGGTACATTTGTTAAGGAAAGCATACGGCTGCTCAACTGGACTCTCACACTTCAGTGTACACTGAAATATCCCATTGGTGAGCACTACTTACACATTTGTAAACTACGGACATTTTAATTGTAGCTTAAGAAAAGCTTCCCATAGAATTAAGTTTACATAATAATAATTTCAATAATATGTACATTTAATTGAGCACTCACGATGAAATAAGCACAACGCTAACTTTATAACAATTTACCTGTCTATAACATAGGAACTATTAGTATATCTATTTTGCCATTGCAGAAATACACTAAATTACAGAGTGAATAAAAGACAAAGGCAGAACTCAACCTCTTCTCTGACTCTAAAGTTTGCCATATTGTCTCATAAAGTAGGGGCCACATTTGCTAAGTGACTAATGACAGGTACAACAACTACTAATAAAATAGTACAGAGAAGGAGTGTCTACTAAGAAAACTGAAAATACTGTTTACCATTGAACCTGATTCAGCAACCTCACAGGTAATACATTCTTTTTAGATCAATAGGTTTTTAGATCTTATGCTTATTTTCAAATATATTTTTCTGCAATATTTTAAAATATTTTAATTTTAATAATGTTCCCTTTTATTAATTTATTATGTATATATTCACATTTATGAGTAAACTTGTACATAATTATATAGTCAATCAACATTTACATAATTGTAAGTAATAAATGTAGTATATACATATAAATCTAGCCACATATATGTGTTTGTGTGTGTGTGTATATATATATGGAAAGAGAGAGAAACTGTATATCATTTTATTTTCAGTTGACATCTTGTATAAATTTTTAATTCTCCACAATCATACATATATTCTACTGCTGTTTAGTTTATAATTCTGGTATTAACCTATACAAGATAGCTCATGTTCATTCAGGTTCATTGGTTAATAATGGTGGCCTAGTAATTTGTGAAAGAATTTAGTGAACCTAATAAAATAGTGTGCGTATTTTTCAAAAATCCAGCATTCATTCAAAAAATACCTACTGTATGACAGGTTTTTCCCTTAGACACTCAGGAAGTACTGTTGCAATAACACAATAAAATCCTTACTTCATGCCTGGAGCTTATAGGGAAACACAAATCTTAAAAAGACAACAACAAAACCATAAGTAATATTTAAACACAAATTTAATTTAGTCTATGGAGAAAGGCATAGAAAAATGTGAACATTCAAAAGACATAAACGTAGGTTTCTTTGTAGCTTCTGTAAATAATGCTAGAAAGAGCAGAAAAATATTCATAGTACATCTTTCTGAAGCTTAGAAATTCTAGGGTAACACAAGTAGTAATTAAATAATATATTTCTTATTTATGTTAGAAAAATAAATTTACAATGAAGACAGAGAAAGTTTAAGTAGAGAGAAGAAGAAGGCTAACTCTAAAGTTTTAAAGTGCTTCCAAATTATATTTTATTCAGGGTTTTTGAATTAAGCAAAGAATCTTTGCCTTTATAACCTTGAATGTAGAAATTAATAAAGTGCAATGAGGGTTTAAATTGGCTGTCCATTCATATTTATCATAGGCAATTTGGGGTAAGATACGAAGCAAAATATAATATTGATTAATAATGATGTGAACTATGTGGTTAAACTTTTGCATTAAAATATTCAAGTTCACTAAAGGGAAGTTTCCCATCATTTTTTATATTCAGTGAATGACTGCCTGTCCACCTATCAGGAATGGTGGACAGTGTTAAACTAGATGTCCTTCAAGTTTCCTTTCTTGCAAATATAAGGTATTTTAGGACTTGTAACCCAAACATATCCTCCAAGAAAAAAAAATCTGCGATGTTCTACATGAGAAGTGTCATTTACTGAAATAACATCAAGTGATAGCTATGTGCCTGGAAGTACTCTAGACACTCAAAGAAAACAGATCAAGTCTCAAGTCTCATGGAACATGCGTCATAGTGGGAGATGCAGACAATAATCAAATGAACAAACATATTATCGGGTAATGTTAATTGCTTAGAGGAATCAGTAATCAGGGCCAATAAACAGGACATATGGAAGTGTGGAGGGTGATCAATCAGAAAATTGCTCTCCTATTATATGCCATGTGAGTAGATACCTGGATGACTGAAGGAAGAAATTCTTGGATAGTTAGGGGAAGCCAATGGCGAAAGCAAATACAAACTTGGTGAGAACCCGATAGAGAAACTGCAAGGGGGCTAGCATGGCAATACTTTATTACAGTTGTTTTCAAACTTTAGTGAGTATCGGAATCACGTGAAGAGCTTGCTAAGGCACAAACTGCTCCCAAGTGATGTTGATGCTGCTGGTCCAGGGATCATATTTTGAGAACCATTGCTCTAGTGAGTAAGGGAGACTTGAGAAGTAGCGAGGGGCAAGGTGGGTGGTGAGGATATTTTATTTCATATAGATTCTATATAATGTAATATATATCACATAATATATGAATGATATTGACAGAATATTATTTTATGTTATGATATATAGAGTCTTGTGGCTGTGAACAGTGTGTTTTATTCTGAGTCATTGGTTTAACAGCATTCCTAAGCAAAGACCAAAGCAGTCCAACCAAGTAAGATGTTTGATTAATCTAGCATGTGAATTACATGAAGATTTCTGTACTAATGGCTGGAACTAGTTCATATTTACTATTGCTTGAGAATATGGGAAATGTGCACGCTAAGATGTAAACAAAATCTAGCATTCCTCAGTGGGTTTAATTAACACGAAAACTTCTTTAACCACAATCATCTCAATTTCTATGAGAAGCAAGAGGGTATTTTAAGTCCTATTCGACACGGATAGATGCTACAGCCTATCTAAAGCTTCCAATAAAATATTTTTCACCTATGTAGACATAAGAACTCCTTATACCTAGTATTTAATCTTATTTGTTCATCTCAAGAAGAGGGAATAAAATGATTGGTCAATACAGCTATTTAAAAAATAGCCGAAATTCTCTAAAAGAGTTGCAGATGTGAGGCTCAAGTCCTTTAACATCACAAGTTTTACTTTCTGAGTTTGTAACTCAAGCAACCAGGCCTGGACAACTTTAAAAATATGTGTTATGTCCAGATTTTTAGAAATTTTGGAGGCTGCTGCACAGAATGTATGCGAAGTCCACAAACTCAGAATGTTCTCTGTAACAGTGATTTCAGATCAATGTTTTTTATTACTTTATTATTTTGTCTTTTGTAAACAATTCTAAACTAGGTACATGAAGGAGATCCCACAAATGAAAGTGGAGAACCAAGTAAAACTTCAAATAATGGAGGAGGTTTGGGTAAAAAAATGAGAGCTATTTCATGGACAATGAAGAAGAAAGTTGGTAAAAAGTACATCAAAGCCCTTTCTGAGGAAAAGGTAAATATTCTCTAATAATCATTTGTATTTTTCTACTAAAACTTTCTTAAACTATTCAGCTAGAGTATAGAAGTGCTTGGTACTTTATGAAGTACTTAAGCATTTGTTTTCTTCCTCAGTCATTATGCCCAGAAGTTGGGTGGAAGGAAGTATTACTTTCATTTTAACAGAAGAAACTGACACTCAGAAAGATCATGCATTGGCCGGGTGTGGTGGCTCACGCCTGTAATCCCAGCACTCTGGGAGGCCAAGGCGGGAAGATCACCTGAGGTCAGGAGTTCAAAACAAGCCTGGCCAACATGGTGAAACCCCATCGCTACTGAAAATACAAAAATTAGCTGGGCATGGTGGTGCACGCCTGTAGTCCTAGCTACTCGGGAGGCTGAGGAAGGAGAATCACTTGAACCCAGAGGCAGAGGTTGCAGTGAGCCGAGATTGCGCCACTGCACCCCAGCCTGGCAACAGAGCAAGACTGTGTCTCAAAAAAAAAAAAAAAAAAAAAAAAAAATTCATGCATCTAGAACGTGATGTGAAGAGCAATGTGAAGAACAACATGTCCTTATTTTTGTAGCAAGTGCCAGTACTTCATTCCTTTTTATTGCCAAATAATGTTTCTCCTTTTATAGATGGACCACATTTAATTTATCCATTTATCACTTAGTGATCACTTGGGTTGCTTTCACTTTTTGGCTATTATGAATAACACTGCTACAGATACTTCTGTTCAACTTTTTTTTTTTTTTTTTTTTTTGAGACGGAGTCTCACTTTGTCACCCAGGCTGGAATGCAGTGGCCGGATCTTAGCTCACTGCAAGCTCCACCTCCCGGGTTTACGCCATTCTCCTGCCTCAGCCTCCCGAGTAGTTGGGACTACAGGCGCCCGCCACCACGCCCGGCTAGTTTTTTTGGTATTTTTTTAGTAGAGACGGGGTTTCACTGTGTTAGCCAGGATGGTCTCGATCTCCTGACCTCGTGATCCACCCATCTCGGCCTCCCAAAGTGCTGGGATTACAGGCTTGAGCCACCACACCTGGCCTCTGTTCAATTTTTTGTGCAGAAATATTTTTTCATTTCTCTTGGATATATGGTAACTCCATGTCTAATAGAGAAACTGGCAAATTGTTTTTTAAGCAACTGCATCATTTTACATTCCCACCAGCAATGTATGAGGGTTTCAATTTCTCTACATCATTGCCAACACTTGTTATTGTCTGTCTTTTTAGTACTAGGCATCCTAGTGGATGTGAGGTGGAATCTCATTGTGATTTTGATTTACATTTGGTTGTACTTTACATTTCCCTGATGACTAACAATGTCGAGAATCTTTTCATGTGCTTTTTAGTCATTTATCTATCTTTGTGGAGAAGTGTTTTTCAAATCCATTGTTTATTTTTAATTGGGTTATTTATCTTTTTATTGTTGAGTTTTAAATGTTTTTTATATATTCTGGATGCAAGATTTTATCAGATATATGACTTGCAATATAATATATTTTCTCCAATTCTGTGGACTGTGTTTTTATTTTCTTGATGGTATTGTTTGTAGCACAAATGTTTCTAATTTTATTGTAGTCCAATTATCTTTTTTTGGTCACTTGTGCTTTTGGTAACATATGTAAGAAACCATTGTCTAACTTAATGTAATGAAGATTCATTCCTATGTTTTCTTCTAAGAGGTCAATAATCTCTTAAATTTTGGTGTATGATTTATTTCAAGATAATTTTACTGTGCAGTATATAGGAAGAGTCCACCTTCATTCTTTTGCATGTAGATATACAGTTGTCCTAAAAGCATTTGTTGAAAAGACTATTCTTTCCCTATTTGATTGTCTTGGCACTCTTGTTAAAATCAGTTGACCACAAATATGTTGTCATAAATATATGGATCATAAATAAGCGGGTTTACTTATGGGCTCTCAATTCTACGTTATTGATTTTTATGTCTTATGTCCATTCTCTTTTTCAACCCACTTCAATAGGGCTTGTCTCCAGTACTCCATTAAAATAGCTGTCACCATCAGTTGTGACCTCTGTGTTGCCAAGTCCAATGGTCACTTTTCTTTCTCCTTACTACTTTTCAACTGTATTTGACTCAAGTGCTGATTTCCTTACATATAAAACATCCACTTCTCTTGTTTTTGACTGGGCATGCTTCTGACGTTTCTTCTTCCTCATAGCTTCTTTTCTTGACTCTGCTTTCTTTCTCATCCCTCAAAACATTTGATCTCCTGAGGCTTGTTCCTGGATGCACCACTGAATCTACACTCTCCCCTTAAGTCAGCTCATCTGCTCTCATGACTTCGTTTTTCACAACTGTATCTCTAGCTATGACCTCTTCACTTATCTGCCATATTAATACAATCAATTGTTTCTTTGATATCCTCGTTTAGCTGTCCAGTAGACATCCAAAACCTAATAGATCCAAAGCTAATATATTGATTCTCTACACTTTTACCAAAAAAAATGGTTTTCTCATCCAGTATTCCCAGTGGCAGCAAACAACACTGATCTTCATAATAAATAAAAGCAAAAATATAAAAAAGAGGAAGAAAAGAAAATCTAAGAATCACCCTAAATTCCTTCTTTTTCTCACTTTTCACACTAATTCATCAGTAAATTATCTGAATTGTACTACCAAGTATATATAAACTCCCTAATTTCTCCATGTAAACTATTCCTGCTTTAGACTAAGTCACCAACCTTTCTTTCCTGGATTATTATAATAATCCTGTAACTGCTTTCCATTCTTTTTATTCTTTCCCTCATAAAATTTATTCTCCATAAGAAAGCCAGAAATATCTCTGACAAGTGGAAATGAGGTCATGGTTAAAATTTCAGTGTCTTCATAGTGCACCCCTTTACTTGCTGTGTTCATTCTAGTCCTCTGAGAAGCAGATCCCAAGAAAGGAGTAGAAACACCACAGACAGATTTATGGGAAGAAATGCTAGGAAGGCTTAAGAGAAAGCCTTTAGACTGCAATGCAAACCTGACATCTATAAAAGGATAAGGAAAAGGAAGAAGAATCAGGTAGAGAGAGTCTCATACTTCAGCAGAATTCTGAGAAAGCTTTGGTCAGATTGATGGGGGATTGTTATACTAAAGTTTTCCGTTACAGGAACCCTCCATTCCACCAGAATGGGCTCAAACAATACCCCTGCTTTTTCAGTTACTAACAGGGAGCATGGCTTTAGTGCCAACGGAGTGATGGATACAGAGGGGTAGTCCTGGGGCTGTCAGTAAAGAAGGGACCCCGCAGCAACAGATCTAAGTGGCACATTTTCATGGCCACCACACATGGTCTATGAAGCTTTTCTTGATGTGGCTCCAGTCTGCTTCTCTAAACTCACACTCTAATATTCTCCTTTGTCTCACTACATTAGCCTTGCTGTTTTCCCCTGCACAACCCAAGATAATTCTGAGTTCAATTATTTTGCTCTTGCTGTTTCTTTTGCTTGGAAAACTGTCTCCAAAGCTTCACATAAGTTACATTTTCTTATCATTTAGGTCAATAATTCAGGGCATATGTTACTGTATGGCAGAGGTCTTTGTAGGATACTCCATTTAAATCAGCCAACCTGTAACCCTAACCTCAGCAACAAATTCTCTCACATCACCCGGTTTTATGTCTTTCATAACACTTATTATTCTCTGAAATTGTCTTATTGTGTTTATACACACCTCCCCAAATACTCTACACAGACACACACACACACGCACGCGCGCACACACACACATACAGCTAACACAATAGAATATCCTTCATTATAGCAAGCACTCTGTTATCTTGTTTACCATGAAAATCCCTGGTTCCCAGAACATTGCCCAGTACCTAGGAGGTGTTCCATAAAATTGTGTTGAATGACTGAATGAATAAAGAAATGGATAAAAGTGGAGAATCAAACTGAGTGTATATCATATGTATATTCTGAAGTTTTAGCAATGTTTAGAAATGCTCACAAATAAAGAATGTTGAATTACATTCTGATGAATATTAAGAAATTCATAGGTTTAATCCAAACTATTGAAATATGGAAAGCATTGGAGATGTTTTCAAGAAAATATAATTTGTTTTGAAATTGTCTGTCTTTTCTAATTTTATGCAAGATTTGCTTCTCACTTGACTAGATGGCAAGCACGGTATTAGATTTGTAAAGCTTCTTAGATAAGCTTTGCTTTAGAGTTGCAAAATGCACATGTTTTATTCATATCTAGTGATCTGGTAGGGTGCAAATAACTGACATGAAACAACTATGCAGAGTTTAAGCTTGTAGGATCAGATCTCAATGGATTAGTAATGGTGTTAAATAAAGGATAAGGACAACATGAAGAAGCAAAAGTGCTTTAAAAGATAAACCATAGATGTCAATAAATCTAACACTTTTGATTAAATAATATTGATATGATATTCATCCTCGTTTGTAAAAATGAGCCATTATAATTTCAACTGAATTCTACAAAAAGAATGTGTCATCTGAATAATTTTTCCAAGTATATTGTAAAAGGTTTTGCTAGAAATTGAACTGAAGATTAACTACTTTCATACTTTATCCTTATGTATCCTTAAGTATTTTATTGCTAAAATATGTCTTGCCTGTTAAATCAATATACACAATGAACATCTCCGTGGAAATCTTCTCTCTGTACCTAACCTCTGATATGTTTTCTGAAGGATGAGGAAGATGGAGAGAATGCCTACCCATATAGAAACAGTGACCCTGTGATTGGGACCCACACAGAGAAGGTGTCCCTCAAAGCCAGTGACTCCATGGATAGTCTCTACAGTGGACAGAGCTCATCAAGTAAGGCTAATGAATCAGAGATGAGATCCTGGGTGTGAGGTCCGGGTTAAATCAATTAAAAAACAACAAGTTAAATTAGCGACAAGGTTCCAGCTACTTGATAAGAGAAATTGTAAAAATGTAAGATATATTAAATCTATATAGAGTTGCTGGTGTTTAAATAATACATAATATATTTGACACAGGTACATACTGTGTTAAAACTTTTAACACTGTAGTCAACGGGGCTCTTGGGGATATGCCTCAAAAAAGTCATATTAGGAGATTAAATATGCATCTTTAAAATAAAAATCCTTGTTGGAGGGAGCCAGCTTTATCTTGAGCCGAAATATTTAAAAATGACTTGAAGTATTCAGATAAATGAAATTTATTTTCTGTTCTGTTCTCTGTCTCTTTCTTTCTCCCTCCCTCTTCCCTGTGTCCCCATCTTTCTCCCCCCACCACTTTCTGTTTTTCCTGAAGTACTCTGAAAAATGTAGCACATTTGCATCAATTTACTTTACTGACATTTACTTTTTAGATCTTAACCCAGCATGAACGAGTAAAGAGTGAAGCAATATGCAAATAATAAATGATAGGACTATCACCATTAGGTGACAAAACGGGATCCATAAGTAACCAACAAGGATTTTCTAATGAAGATCAATATTTTTTCTAAGAAGGAAATCACTCAGGATTTAGTCACATTTCCAGCTACAATATTTGGATGAAACGATTGATATTGCAGGGTGCCTTATGACTTTTTATATGTAGACTGTTATACATCTCTCTAATTTTTTCAGGGCTTATATGTAGACTGTTATACATCTCTCTAATCTTTTCAGGGCTTTTAAATGTTTTTGCAAAGTTTATTTTCCATTTCCTTTTAAATCAACTGCTTCTGTTATTTGAAGATGTATGGCAAAGACCAGATGTTTCAAATATCCTGAGTTTTATTCCTATTTTCCTATTGGCTGTAGAATAGATATTTTGTGACAAAAGCTAACACAGAAACATTTGAAGAATTTTTTTGCACGTATGAAATTCAGATCTCATTAGTATTCATTTCTGCTGAAAGTTTTAAAACTCTATATTGTGATGCTGGATGTGGGGAGAATTTTCACTAGAATGGACTGTGAAAAGCTGTGGTCTGGAGTTGTCATGGAAGGGAAGGTGTGAAGAGATGGTGGTTCATTTTACTATTAGCGTATACCACTTAATTTGTGTGATTAGATGCAACTCATCTGTGTTTTACATCACTTCACATACAATATGGAGCATCTTGAAGGAGCTTTACCTTATTTCCACAATGCATGGTAGTGAAACGTGGGCTATTCCCTCATTGAACAGAGTGATGAAAGGTTAGACTGAAGGAAGACATGAAGTGATGACTGAGTATGAGGGTGGGGGAGGAGAGTTACTTCCACTGGGAGCCATTCTTGTTCCCAGGGAGGTGACAAAATGCTCTCTTTTCTCTTTTTCCTGAAGTTTAAGATCAAAAATAAGAGGAGCAGACAACAAGGATTTGGAGCAGTTTTAAAGGCCCAGTTTAGAAGTTTCAAACCACGTGGTGGTGCAGACATTCAGACACACTTTCTCCTTCCCTTACACTCACACAACAAGCAAAAGTGCCACCTGTTATGTCAGAAATATGGCCTCAGAATGGCCTTTGGTACACAGTGGGAACTCTGGGGAAGAAGTCTTGTGATAAGTTGCAGGGAACTTTGTAATGTCATGCTTTTGGCAAGTGTCCAATACTTAGTACACTGTGTCCCGGATCAGATTATGGAGAATGAAGTGAGAGGGTACTTGGGTTGGTGGTAGAGGAGAGAGTGGCCAGATCGTCAGGAGAAAGGTTAGAAATGACTCAGAGGACAGACGTCATTGACTGAGAGCAACTGGGAGAGAGACACCAGGATGGGTCAATTAGAACCTCCTCCTGAGCCTGGCATCCAGTGGTCCAGCATGATCAATACTTAGCTGTGTCCAGATGATGGTCCAGAATGTTACAAGTCTTCAATGACAACTGTGAACTTCTGCCTTCATCAGGTGGCGTAACAAGCTGTTCAGATGGTACGAGTAACCGGGACAGCTTTCGACTGGATGACGATGGCCCCTATTCAGGACCATTCTGCGGTCGCGCCAGAGTGCATACGGATTTCACGCCAAGTCCCTATGACACTGACTCCCTCAAAATCAAGGTGAGAGGACATCATATCCCCGCTTCTGAATGGTTTGTCAAAGGCTGATTATATGATCTGTTTCGGCAAGTATAAGCAGTGGGAGAACAGAGTGTGAGTGTGTTCTTCCCAACAGTAGAAGTGGAGGCTCGCTTACAGTGCTAAGAATTGGAATAAAATATGTGAGGTGGAGTCGGCGTATCAGTCTGTTCAGGCTATTAGTGTAAGTTGTTGTTATGTAGATGATTCAGGTTCAGAGTCTATCAGGGAGGAAAGAATTCTCTCCATTTTCCTGAAAACCAAAGCCTCACAGTTGCTAAAGGTGCCCAACTCTGCCTGATACTTGCGGGAATAGAAATAATGAAGAGAGAGGGAGAAAAGGTGCAAATGTCAGGCAAGAGCCCAGCAGAGCAAAGGCCTTGGGAACCAGACGTGGCCGGGAAATTCCAGTACTTTTTACTTTTATTTTTATTTCCATAGGTTATTGGGGAACAGGTGGTGTTTGGTTACATGAGTAAGTTCTTTAGTGGTTATTTGTGAGACTCTGGTGCACCCATCACCCAAGCAGTATACACTGCACTCTGTTTGTAGTATTTTATCCCTCACCACCTTCTCATCCTTTCCCCAAGTCCCCAAAGTCCATTGGGTCATTCCTATGCCTTTTCGTCTTCATAGCTTAGCTCTTGCTTATGAGTAAGAACCTATGATGTTTGATTTTCCATTCCCGAGTTACTTTACATAGAATAATAGTGTCCAGTCCCATCTAGGTCACTGCAAATACCATTAATTCATTCCTTTTTATAGCTGAGTAATATTCCATCGTATATATATACACCATGGTTTTGTTTTGTTTTCTTTTCTTTTCTTTTCTTTTCTTTTCTTTTCTTTTCTTTTCTTTTTTGATGGAGTCTTGCTCTGTCACCAGGCTGGAGTGCAGTTGCGCGATCTTGGTTCACTGCAACCTCTGCCTCCTGGGTTCAAGCAGTTCTCCTTCCTCAGCCTACCGAGTAGTGGAGGCCACCACAACCCAGCTAATTTTTGTATTTTTAGTAGAGATGGGGTTTCAGCATGTTGGCCAGGATGGTCTCGATCTCTTGACCTCGTGATCCACCCACCTCAGCCTCTCAAAATGCTGGGATTACAGGCATGAGTCATCGCGCCCAGCCTATACCACAGTTTCTTTATCCACTCATTGATTGATGGGCATTTGGGTTGGTTCCACATTTTTGCAATTGCAAATTGTGCTGCCACAAACATGTGTGTGCAAGTATCTTTTTCGTATAATGACTTCTTTTCCTCTGTGTAGATACCTAGCAGTGGGATTGCTGAATCAAATGGTAGTTCTACTTTTAGTTATTTAAAGAATCTCCACACCGTTTTCCATAGTAGTTGTACTAGTTTACACTCCCACCAGCAGTGTAGAAGTGTTCCCTTTTCACTACATCCACGCTAACATCTGCAATTTTTTAATTTTTTGATTATGGCCATTCTTGCAGGAGTAAGGTGGTATCACATTGTGGTTTTGATTTGCGTTTCCCTGATCATTAGTGATGTTGAGCATTTTTTCATGTGTTTGTTGGCCATTTGTATATCTTCTTTTGAGACTTGTCTATTCATGTCCTCAGCCTACTTTTTGATGGGATTGTTTGTTTGTTTTCTTGTTGATCTGAGTTCATTGTAGATTTTGGATATTAGTCCTTTGTCGGACATATAGATTGTGAAAATTTTTTCCCACTCTGTGGGTTGTCTGCTTGCTCTGCTGATTGTTTCTTTTACCATGCAAAAGCTCTTTAGTTTAATTAAGTCTCAGCAATTTATGTTTGTTTTTATTGCATTTGCTTTTGGGTCCTTGGTCATGAAATCCTTGCCTAAGCCAATGTCTAGAAAGGTTTTTCCAATGTTATCTTCTGGAATTTTTATAGTTTCAGATCTTAGATTTAAGTCCTTAATCCATCTTGAGTTGATTTTTGTATAAGGTGAGAGTTGAGGATCCAGTTTCATTCTCCTACATATGGCTAGCCAATTATCCCAGCACTATTTGTTGAAAAGGGTGTCTTTTCCCCACTTTATGTTTTTGTTTGCTTTTTCAAAAGTCAGTTGGCTATTAAGTATTTGGATTTATTTTTGGATTCCTTTTCTGTTCCATTGGTCTATGTGCCTATTTTTGTAGCAGTACCATGCTGGATTGGTGACTATAGCCTATAGTATAGTTTGAAATTAGGTAATGTGATGCCTCCAGATTTGTTCTTTTGCTCAAGCTTGCTTTGGCTGTGCAGTCTCGTTTTTGGTTCCATATGAATTTTAGAATTGTTTTCTCTAATTCTGTGAAGAATGATAGTGGTATTTTGATGGGAGTTCTGTTGAATTTGTAGATTGCTTTTGGCAGTATGGTCCTTTTCACAATATTGATTCTACCTATCCATGGGCGTAGAACATGTTTCCATTTGTTTGTGCCATCTCTGATTTATTTCAGCCGTGCTTTGTAGTTTTCTTTGTGGAGGTCTTTCACCTCCTTAGTTAGGTACATTCCAAAGTTGTTTTTTTTGTTTTGCTTTGTTTTGTTTTGCTTTTGCAGCTATTGTAAAAGGGGTTGAGTTATTGATTTGATTCTTAGCTTGACTGCTGTTGGGGTATAAAAGAGCTACTGATTCGTGTACATTAATTTTGTATCCAGAAACTTTGCTGAATTCTTTCATCAGTTCTAGTTGCTTCCTGGATGAGTCTTCATGGTTTTCTAGGTAAATGATCATATCATCAGAAAACAGTGACAGTTTGACTTCCTCTTTAGTGATTTAGATGCCCTTTATTTCTTTCTCTTTTTTGATTTCTCTGGCTAGGACTTCCAGTACTGTGTTGAAGAGGAATGGTGAGAGTGGGCATCCTTATCTTGTTCCAGTTCTCAAAAGGAATGCTTTTACCTTGTTGCCGTTCAGTATTATGTTGACTGTGGGTTTGTCATAGATGGCTTTTATTTTATTGAGGTATGTCCCTTGTATGCCTATTTTGCTGAGAGTTTTAATCATGAAGAAATGCTGAATTTTGTCTAATGCTTTTTCTGCACCTATTGAGATGGTCCTGTGATTTTTGTTTTTAATTCTGTTCATGTGGTGTATCACATTTATTAATGTGCATATGTTAAACCATCCCAGCACCCCTGGTATTAAACTCACTTGATCATGGTGGATTATCTTTTTGATATGTTGCTGAATTCAGTTAGCTAGTATTTTGTTAAGAATTTTAGCATCTATGTTCATCAGGGATACTGGTCTGTAGTTTTCTTTTTTGGTCATCCTCTTTCCTGGTTTTGGTATTAGGGTGATACTGGCTTCATAGAATGATGTAGGGAGGGTTCCCTCTTTCTCTGTCTTGTGGGGTAGTGTCAATAGGATTGGTACCAATTCTTCTTTGAATGTCTGATAGAATTCTGCTCTGAATCCGTCTGGTCCTCAACTCTTTCTTTGTTGGTAATTTTTAAATTGCCATTTCAAAATCATTGGTAGTTATTGGTCTGTTCTGGGTATCTAATTTTTCCTGATTTAAGCTAGGAGGGTTGTATCTTTCCAGGAATTTATCCATGTTTTCCAGGTTTTCTAGTTTATGCATGTAAAGGTGTTCATAGTAACCTTGAATGATCTTTTGTATTTCTGTAGTGTCAGTTGTAATATCCCCTGTTTCATTTCTTATTGAGCTTATTTGAATTCTTACTAATGGTCTATTAATTTTGTTTATCTTTTCAAAAAACAGCTTTTTGTTTCATTTATCTTTTGTATTGTTTTTGTTTCAATTTTATTTAGTTCTGCTCTGATCTTGGTTATTTCCTTTCTTCTGCTGTTTTTGAGTTTGGTTTGTTCTTGTTTCTCTCTTTCCTTGAAGTGTCACCTTAGATTGTCCGTTTGGACTATTTCAGACTTTTTGATGTAGGTGTTTAGGGCTATGAGCTTTCCTCTTAGCACCACCTTTGCTGTGTCCCAGAGGTTTTGGTAGGTCATGCCACTATTGTTGTTCGGTTTGAATAATTTTTTAATTTCCATCTTGATTTCATTTTTCACCCAAGGATCATATATTTGCATGGTTTTGAAGGTTCTTTCTGGAGTTAATTTCCAGTTTTATTCCACTGTAGACTGAAAGAGTGCTTGATAAATTTAAATTGTTTTATATTTATTGAGACTCATTTTATGGCCTATCATATGGGTCTATCTTAGAGAAGGTTCCATGTGTTGTTGAATACAATGTATATTCTGAGGTTGTTGGACAGAATGTTCTGTATATACTTGTTAAGTCTATTTGTTCCAGGGTATAATTTAAGTCCACTGTTTCTTTGTTGACTTTCTGTCTTGATCACCTGTCTAGTGCTGTCATTGGAGTATTGAAGTCCCCCACTATTAGTATGTTGCCATCTATCTCATTTCTTAGTCCTATTAGTAATTGTTTTTCAAATTTGGGAGCTCCAGTGTTAGGTGCATACATGTTTAGGATTGTGATATTTTCCTGCTAGAAAAGGCCTTTTTATCATTGTATAACGTCCCTCTTTGTCTTTTTTAACTTCTGTTGCTTTGAAGTTTGTTTTGTCTGATATGAAAATAGCTATTCCTGCTCACTTTTGGTGTCCATTTGCATGAAATGTCTTTTTCCACCCCTGTACCTTAAGTTTGTGTGAGTCCTTATGTGTTAGATGAGTCTCTTGAAGGCAGCAGATAGTTGGTTTGTGAAATCCTATCCATTCTGCAATTCTGTAACTTTCAAGTGGATAATTTAGGCTATTTAATTCAATGTTAGTATTGAGATGTGAGGTACTATTCCATTCATCATGCTCTTTGTTGCCTGCATACATTTTGTGTGTGTGTGTGTGCATTTTAAAGTGTACTTTTGTTTTATAGGTCCTGTGAGATTTATGCTTCAAAGAGGTTTTGTTTTGATGTGTTTCCAGGATTTGTTTGAAGATTTAGAGCTCCTTTTAGTGGCTTGGTAGTGACGAATTCTCTCAACATTTGTTTGTCCGAAAAAGACTGTATCTTTCCTTCATATATGAAGTTTGATATCGCTGGATACAAAATTCTTAGCTAATAATTGTTTTGTTTGAGGAGGCTGAAGATAGGGTCCCAATCCCTTCTAGTTTGTTGTGTTTCTGCTGAGAAATCTGCTGTCAATCTGATAGGTTTTCCTTTATGGATTACCTGATCCTTTTGTCTCATTGCTCTTAAGATTCTTTCCTTTGTCTCAACTTTAGATAATCTGATGACAATGTGCCCAGGCAATAATCCTTCTGCAATGAATTTCCTAGGTGTTTTTCATGTTTCTTGTATTTGGATGTCTAGATCTCTAGCAAGGCCAGGGAAGTTTTCCTTGATTATTCCTTCAAATATGTTTTCTCAACTTTTAGATTTCTCTTCTTCCTCAGGAACACTGATTATTCTTGTGTCATTTAATATAATCCCAGACTTCTTGGAGGCTTTGTTCACATTTTCTTATTCTTTTTTCTTTGTCTTTGTTGGTTTGGATTAATTCAAAGACCTTGCCTTTGAGCTCTGAATTTCTTTCTTCTACTTGTTCGATTCTATTGCTGGAACTTTCCAGAGCATTTTGCATTTCTATAAGTGTGTCCATTGTTTCCTGAAGTTTTGATTGTTTTTTGTTTATGCTATCTATCCTTGAATATTTCTCCCTTCACTTCTTGTATCATTTTTTGGATTTCCTTACATTGCGCTTCACCTTTCTCTGGTGCCTCCTGGTTAGTTTAATAACTAACCTCCTGAATTCTTTTTAAGGTAAATCAGGGATTTCTTCTTGGTTTGGGTCCATTGCTGATGAGCTAGTGTGACTTTTTGATGGTATTAAAGAACCTTGTTTTGTCATGTTATCAGAGTTGGTGTTCTGGCTCCTTCTCATTTGGGTAGGTGCTGTCAGAGGGAAGGTCTAGGGCTGAAGGCTGTTGTTCAGATTCTTTTGTCCCACAGGGTGTTCTCTTGATGTAGTACTCTCCCCCTTTTCCTATGAATGAGGCTTCCTGAGAGCGATCTGTAATGATTGTTACCTCTCTTCTACAGCTAGCCACCCAACAAGTCTACCAGGCTCTAGACTGGTACTAGGGGTTGTCTGCACAGAGTCTTGTGATGTTAACTGTCTGTGGGCCTCTCAGTTGTGGATACTAGCACAGTATTTGGGTTGTCTCCTGTTTACTGAAGGAGGAATCCACTTCCTTCAGGGGGTCTGTGAGTCCTCCCAGTTTTCCTGATTTATTTCTGCAATTGTTCTGAAGCAAAAATTCATGATGTGAGTGTCCACACACTCCTTCGTCTGCTCGAGCTGGAGCTGCAACCTGGTCCTGCCTCCCATCTGCCATGATGCCCCTGAAATGTCTAGCACTTTTTAAGTTGGTTGCTATGAGTAACCAGAGACCTTTCTCCCAGTGGTATTCCCTCCTGAATTCCCTCTTCTAATCCTCTGTATTCATTTTCTATTGCTGTGTAACACATTACTTCAAACTCAGAGGCATGAAACAACACAAATGTATTGTTAGCTCACAGTTTCTGTGGGTCATAATTGTGGGCATGGCTCAGTTGAATTCTAAGCAAGCTGTGATCTCACCGGAGGCTCAGGGTTCTCTTCTGAGTTCACTGGCTGTTGGCAGAATTCAGTTCCTTGTGGTTGTAGGACTGAGGACCCAATTTTCTTGCTGGATGTCAACTGGAGGTCATTCTCAGCCTCTAGATTCCACCAGCCAGAGCCCTCTCTGCAATACGACAGTTTGATCTTTCAGAATGAGCAGGAAAAAGCTCACTCAGGCTTTAATCTTTATTTTAAGGGATCCTACCTGATTTGTCAGACCCACCAAGATAATCTCCCTTTCAGTTAATTCAAAATAAAATAACTCAGTACCCTAATTGGATCTGCAAAGTCCCCCCATCATATAAGGGCAACATAATCATGAGTGTGAAATCCATCATTTTCATAATCCTGCTCAAACTCAAGGAGAGGGGTTGGTTATAATGGCACAAACAGAAGGTTTTGTGCTAAAAGAATTCATAGATGTTAAATTATTCCTTTCTAGTATCACAAAGTGCTAAAAGTCAAAGGACAAAGTATGAATGTTCTATATTGTTAACACTAAACCAATGTTAACTAATAATTATGATATATTATGGAGTATTTATATTATTATTTGACATTTAAAGTCTTTAGCCCTTCTCTTGATCCCTTCCATGCTATTAAATCAGAGTGAGCCCAACTGGAGAATAAAAAATGCACTGTTCCCCATAGTAAGCTCCTTAGTTATGTATATGGAATGATCTGATGTCTAAGTTCAAGTCTTGGGGAAAGGATATCCATAACCTAGTAACCATTGTGGGAGAGAGCAGTAGAAGGAAATAAACACAACACAGTTTGACTCAGGTTAGCCTTTCAACTTCCCTACAATACCATGCCAGGGTGCCACTGCTGCTGCTGCCTGAGGTGAGTTTTTGTGGAGCTCTTATAGGACACAATAGGAATTCCCCAGTTACCCATGAAAATTGAAATACTATTTTTCCATCAAGGGTCCTATCCAAAATGAAATTGAGTCTTTGCTTGATGATCTGTGGGCTTTCCTGGAATGTGCAGGTATATACCTGTAAAGGCTAAAGTTCCAAATTTACAAGTTTCAAGGATAATAGGAAGGATGCAGTAAAGGGTTTCCATGCCTAGCAACTTTCTAGAGCTTCAGGAGAACTTCTCAGTCTCCCTAGCTGATACCATCCAACCTATGATTTGATTCCCTTTTGTTAAAGGCAGAAGGACCCAGTCTAACAGTTCACAAGACTAAACAGACAGATGATCACAAGGTAGACCAGATATTTCAGTCATGGTGAATTATACCATTACAAATAAAACTTTTTAGATGGAAGGACACACATTCCCAGAGCAGGAAGAAAAAAGTATTTTTAGTAGCAGACTTGATGCTTTGTTTGAGGGTAGACACTTAAAAGGGGCTAAAATATTAGAATCTGTAAAGTCCTCTCCGAGGCAGAAAGTTTTAAGTCTCAAAGGAGGAACTATAACTCTTGAACATAGACATCATACTTGCATAGAAATAAATTTTCTTTACAAAGAAACATTCCCATGAGGTTTTCTACCCTTGTCAATAACTGGCAGCCTATAGTTAATTATGGTCTTAGATGTGAGTAAAGAAAAACACCATTTGGTTTGTCCATACTAATATGATTCATTCATACTTCAATCTAAACTTTGCTGTGAGCTCAATCTAAGTGCTATCTCTTCTTAATAAGAGGAGAGCATGAATGCCTTAAAAGGAATTAAGTAGCATAACTTATCCTTAGTGTACACATACTTTTACATGAATTCTGCAAAATTTCTTTATTTTAGATGGATGAAATTCTTGAAATGGGTTTATTTTATACCGTAGATAAATTTATCAGATACACTAGAAATACATAGAGTAACAGACTTCTCTTTCATCTCCTTCCCCAGCTGGGGAGCACTTCCAGGAATGATAACTTGAGCTTTGTTACATATATATTACTTTGACAGTATAAATAAAAAGAGCATCATTTTTTAGTTTAGATAACTTGGACTTGAGTTCTGGTTCTGCCACTAATTTCCTGCACGCTCTTCAGAAGTCATTTAATATCTCTGTTCCTTTTTCTGTAATATTTAAATTAATAATGATGATACTCCCTTTATGTATCTAAGAGGTGTGTTGTGAGCAAAAATAACTTAGAGTAGGCAAAAGTGTTTTGTAAATTACACTGTACTCTACAGTTATAAGTTGATAAATTGATACAATGACAGAAACAGAAACATGTCATCAAACTATGTGAGAGCTTTTTGTCAAGAATGTTGAAGTTTTCTTCATTGTAACTAGTACATAACTTCTTTGAATTTTTTTTTAAGATGGGATCTCACTATGTTGCCCAGGCTGGAGTGCAGTGGCATGATTACAGCTCACTGTAGCCTTGATCTCCTCCCACCTCAGTCTACAGATACATGCTACCATGCCAGGCTCATTAACTGAAAAAAAAACTGTGGAGATGGGATCTCACTTTGTCACCCAGGCTAGTCTCAAACTCCTGGCCTCAAGCAATCCTCCCGCCTTGGCCTCCCAAAGTGCTGGGATTATAAGCATGACCCACCATGCCACCAGCCTGAACTTTTGAAAGAAGTGAATGTTTAGATTTGTTTCTGTTATATCTGAACCGCTTTAGCATAATGTCCTCATTATCCTAGTTTCCTATGATTTCATTCTTTCTACCAATTTGTATAGCACCATAGTTCTCTGAAGCCTAATGTTTATGGATTTCTTTGTCCTTAGAAAGGAGACATCATAGACATTATCTGCAAAACACCAATGGGGATGTGGACGGGAATGTTGAACAATAAAGTGGGAAACTTCAAATTCATTTATGTGGATGTCATCTCAGAAGAAGAAGCAGCCCCCAAGAAAATAAAGGCAAACCGAAGGAGTAACAATGAAAAATCCAAGACTCTGCAGGAGTTCCTAGAGAGGATTCATCTTCAGGTGAGCAAATCTATGTCCTGTTTGCTTTTGGGGGCATGTAAATGGAAAAATTGAAGGGAGTGGATCAGTATTTGTGTTGCGTTGCTTAAAAATACAAGACTTAGAAGCAAAGGAAAGCCTGTTTTCCTAGAAGAGCTCTTATTTCTCCTTTATGACATTTTTTTATGCAAGGACAAGTCTCGATCTAATATCCCTTGGACTATACCTTAATAGTATTTAGCAATGACAATAGAGATGAACGTTGAGAAAATGCAATGAACAATGAAAAATATCTAGGAGAATAAAAGGCCCTAATAAAATGTCTAAATGAGAACAGTAAAGAGAATATAAGGAATCAAGTAAGTCTAAAAAAGTGAAAGGAAAAATGAAAAGGGAAATGTATTTTCTACAAAGCAGAGGTTAAAATCAAGTTGAGAGAAGATAACTGAATGTAATTATTTTAAAAATAATTTGAGGGAAACGGTGATCATCAAGCCCCATAATGATTGTGTTAAGGAAACTGTGTTGTCTGTATTTATAACCCAATTATTATTTTCTTGTTATATTACCAAGTATCTTTTGAAATATCCACCTTGTTAAATGGTGTGTATGTACAATACATCTAGTATCAATCAATTTACAGTTTTGCAATCCATTTCTAAAATTAACTCAGAAGTACTTCGATAGTTTTCAAAATTCATCAAGACAGTAGCCAATTACACTTTTCTTAATTGTTTTTTTCTGAATTATCTAGTTATGTTCCTGTCTGTACACACAGTATCTAAGCCTTCGTATATTACTATTGGTGCACCTCAAATGGGATATTCCTATGAGAATGTAAGGGTTAGCGCCTTGCCTCTGCATCTTGTTTGTTCTGTGACCTGTGAGGAAACCAAGGTCTAAGAGACTGAAATGACTTCCCCAAGAACCCGCAGTTAAATGGTTATATGTCAGAACAGGAATTTGTGTTTCTTTATTCTAATTCAGTGCTAAGAATACACTTTTCTAAAGAAAGAATTGTCACTCTTCTTGCTTTTCTTCCTTTTTTTTTTTTTTTTTGTTAAAAAGGGCTAGTCATAAGTTCTTCCTGATTACTTAAAACTTTTAGACTTCCTCTTATTCTATTTTAGTAATTAAAATAAGGATATTGAAATTAGATCAAGTAAAATGGGGGAGGAATCTGAGGAAGTTGAAAAAGCACTCAACTTCATTTAATATTTTTATTTTGTTTGAGAGGATAGAAGTTTCAAAATGACGTACAGACTTTGAAATCAGAAACCTATGAATTTTAAACTTATATTGATTCAAATGATGAACAAAATATGCATGCTGAGAAAGCAATTTTTGCCCCAACTACAGTGTTTCTATGCTTAGTAGAAGTTTTCAATTAAATAGAAAGTCTTGAATTCCTTTGGTTTATATAATACCTTTCAACCAAAATGCTACACCCACTTTTTTGTACAGAATTACATCTGTTTCAAACTCATTTTTTAACCTACCCCAAGAACATTTTGAGAGCAGATGCTTTTGCAATCATGAAAACAAGAAGAGATGTAGATTCTGAAATATTACTGTAGCATGCTACTCTGCTAGAGGCATTTTATTGACAGACTTAAAGTAATGCTAGTTCTGCCAATTCAGTTAGTTGAGAAGTGAAAAATTTCCAAATGGGATGCATGATCCAACTATTTAATTGATCCAGGATTTGGAATTGTATAGCTTAAGGTAATTATTTCCTCTTTACACGTGGCCTTCCAAAAGGCGAGAATTATACAATATAATCATTGAAGAGCCCTGGAGTTCATATGTCAAAAACTAATACAAGTGAAGTTAAGCGAAAGTTGTATTGGCACCTTTGGTTCCTATATGCATCTCTATATTTTCTTTAAATCTAAAGAGAACTAAAAATAAAATATTTGAATCTAATTTGCATTATATTTTTTGTCCCACAGGAATATACCTCAACACTTTTGCTCAATGGTTATGAGACTCTAGAAGATTTAAAGGATATAAAAGAGAGTCACCTCATTGAATTAAATATTGAAAACCCAGATGACAGAAGAAGGTTACTATCAGCTGCTGAAAACTTCCTCGAAGAAGAAAGTAAGTGTGCACACCTACTCTTCTCCCCAGCTGATAATCACAGTTTAATGTAAATAGTATAATCACGAGAAACAAAGCCCCCGTTTTATTTACTGATATCATGAAAGCATGCTTTCCCATAAAATAAGTATTTCCATGTAAGTTTGAAAACAATAACTATGGTCAAATATATAATTAGGAAAAGGAACTTATTTCCTTATTGGACTCAAGAAATGAAAGGACTTTTCTGGGTACCTCATTTCCATTCTGCAAAGCTATTAATTTACATGCAAGTGGATGCCTGCATTCCCAAAGACTGAGGGAGTTAGAGACAAGTATTTAGTAGCAACATAAGCCATTAGTGAGAAATGTCACCCATGGCTTCTGTAAAACAGCACAGAGCATGGCTTTAAGATAATGAGCCTTCATGCCACACAGGAAAATTCATTTCATTACCACATAGTCACATCTTGTACATGTTTACAGTACTCTTTCAAAATGTTCTAATAGCTTGCAAAAATATTCCGCACTCACTTTTATTGTATGAGATGGTTCTCTGTAAGTATTAACTGAAGATGAAATGATCATGGAGATTTACAGAATACTGTCTACACCAACCAGGCTTGTAAAGATAGAATAGCTTTTATTTTTTATAATTATCCATCCAGATTGCCTTTCCTGCCAAATCTGGTCAGGTCCCCAAACACTGAGCTTAGGGTGCGCCAAACTCCGCAAGGAGTATTTTGTGAGCAACCAAATGGGGAAAGTCTAACTTTAAAGATGAAAAGGAACTTAGATTATCAAATCCAGCCTTCTCTATCAAAAAATACAACTACTAGAAATAGTTATTAGTATTAATATTATTAGTTTTTGAGATGGTGTCTAAATCCGCTGTCCAGGTTGGAGTGCAGTGGCACGATCTCAGCTCATTACAACCTCCGCCTCCAGGGTTCAACGATTCTTATGCCTCAGCCTCCAAGTAGCTGAGATTATAGGCATGCCACCACACCCGGCCAATTTTTGTATTTTTAGTGGAGATAGGGTTTCACCATATTGGCCAGCCTGGTCTCGAACTTTTGACCTCAAGTGATCCTCCCACCTCGGCCTCCCAAAGTGCTGGCATTACAAGCATAAGCCACCACACCCAGCAGTAAAAATAACACTAGAAATTATTAACTACGTTTTTTAAAACATGTGTGCTCTGAGCAAGACTCTGGGCCAGGGTGTTTCCTGATTATTCTCTTGAGTACTTACCCCAGTTCTTTGACTTAAACAGTACCACCCTCATTTTTATGATGAGAAATTGAGACAGTAAGTTAACTTGTCTAAAAACACTCTCTTAGTGAAGTGTAGAGTTGGGATTCCAACCCAGTGTATGTGCTGCTATGTTATACTTTCTAACACTACAAGTAACAGCCCAGATGGAGAATGAGGAGGGAGGAAAGCATTCTTTAGGGACCAGGCCTCCTGATTGTCCTTTTGTGGGTTATTCTATACTGTCTCTCATAAGTTCCACAAAATTGAGGCAGAGCACATGTTTCCTATACACTGGCTTTTTATCTAGTGAAAAGTAGTTTACTTTTTAAGAAATTGTGTTTTACTTTATTCTTATCATCCTTTTCCAAGAGCTTTCACAGACATAACTAATTTGACATCAGCAGGACTAATTTCATCATCAGGCCTAGGTTATTACATGCTTTCTTTGAAGTGTGGGGCTGGGAGATGGAAAAGAGAGGGAGATGTGGTCACAGAGGCAGACAAAGTTCAAACTTTAGAAAGTAGCCAATTTAATCAATATTTCAAGTCAAGACAATACCTGATCAGTATAAACAGATATAGTAAGTTCTTCCAGGTAAAGGAGTCAGTTTCTTTCACATCTTGTCATTTCAAGACATGGATCCTCACTAAACAATGTTTAGCTTAGAAATAGATTATATAGAGTTTTATTATGGACAATGTCCAGTGTCATCGCCAATATTCTCCAAAATGATTTGGCCATGAAGTACAGGGAGGAGAAGAGTATTTTTTGAACAGTTGAAAATAATTGCTTTTCTTCCATAATAGCACACACCCGATTTACAGATGAGGAAAAAATTGGGAGCTGAATTTCAAAGACGTCAAATAGCTAGATGAGTGCAGAGATGGAGATTTAATCAAACGGAGTCTGCTATAAACTCCTCCACATGTACAAATTGGCCAATAGGAAAGCAATGAATATTTGAAAATTGAAGTTTTCTGCTACTTCACCAATTGTCTCTAGGGCTTTATTTCAGTTTCTATATCAGAAAGTGAAAGACGAGAGGCTACCATGGCTGCCTGTCAACAGGGTTTGTGGAGAGAAGGGGCTGGGAACCTGGGCAAGCAGCACTTTCAGCAATGACCAGTGTCCCCAGGGACCCACAGAGGGAAGATGGGTTCAGCGCCAAAGGCTTGCATCCCTTAATTTTTTCATTCCACCTCACTCATCACCTGTCTCCTTTCTATGCTAACAAAAGAACAATTATTCATAGATGGTAAAATTATTTATAGACCTGGTGTAATTTAAAAAAAAAAGAAGAAACACCTGACACAAAATTCTTCCGTTGCAAGATGAGAAGATGAAAATCCGGTAGCTAAGTGGCTTTTTCAAGCTCACAAATCTATAATTCAGTCTCTTACATCTATTAGAAACATGTTCTGCCATATCCTAGTCTCTGAAAACAAAACATAGTGTCTCCAAAGCATTAAATGGTTTTTGATATTTGATATATATTTGATATAAAAAGGACATGTCCCAGAAGTTATTCCCCTGCATAAAACTTTAGAAAATGCTACTTGAAGGTCACTAGAAGTTGATTACTTAATGACAGCCCATAAGGTACAAACATACACACAGCCAAATTCTGGGAGATGAAAAATGGAAAAAAAAAAATACAGATTCAACCAGTGCTTCTTGTCAACACACTACCCTGAGATTTTTCTTATTTTAATCTTACGGTTTAGAGTAGTATTAGAATATACATGTCAAAAAGATGCATATTGCATGTTAGGCTATTCTGACTGAAAGCTATTTATCTTATATGAAACTGCTTTGCTCAAGAAATAAAGAAGAATGACTTCCATTTGTTGATAAGATGGTGAGTTCTGATGATTTGGCACCATGCTGGCTGCATGCTTATTTTTATCTATTTTCTACTCTGTGAATCATATCTCCTACAACCATGCTAAAGATTAAACGCACAACCTTCCTGTACCTTGAATGATAAAGACCTTGAGTATGTGGTTATATAAAACTGAGACAGTTAAAAACAAATGCATGTCACGTTAAAGGTTAAAAATAGTTTGCTTTTTTTTTTTTTTAAGAATAGGGCATGTAAATTTTCTAGGATATTATGGATGCATTTTATTTTGATCATTGAATGATGTCAGTTTGAGGAATCGCAATAAATTCCTAGTTTGGTGTTTCATTGTTTGTTAGATTGAGAACATAAAAGGATCTGCTTTGCTAATCATTCAGTATAAAAGTTGAGCAAAATGGCCACATATCATGAGGATAAGAGCTAAAATTTTGAGATAATGTAGAAAAGACAACAAGTCCTATGTGAGACTTGAATATATCTAGAGAGACCAAGAGGATGGGGTACAAAACATGGGGGGGAAAAAAAACAGACTTCTAAGATTTAAAGCAAGCATTTTTCCTGTTCTCTTCTTAGCCCAAGATAGAGAACATTGTACCCACTTTGACCTTGAAAATGTAAACTGGATTATACTTTTTTTTTTTTTTGTATTATACTTTAAGTTCTGGGATACATGTGCAGAACGTGGAGGTTTGTTACACAGGTATACACATGATATTGTGGTTTGCTGCACCCATCAACCCTTCATCTACATTAGGTATTTCTCCTAATGCTATCCTTCCCCTAGCCCCCTAGCCCCTGACAAGCCATGGTGTATGATGTTCCCCTCCTTGTGTCCATATGTCCTCATTGTTCAACTCCCACTTATGAGTGAGAACATGTGGTGTTCGGTTTTCTGTTCCTGTGTTAGTTTGCTGAGAATGATGGCTTCCAGCTTCATCCATGTCCCTGCAAAGGACATGAACTCTTCCTTTTTAATGGCTGCATAGTATTCCATGGTGCATATGTGCCAGATTTTCTTTATCCAGTCTGTCATTGATGGGCATTTGGGTTGATACCAAATATTTGCTATTGTGAACAGTGCTGCAATAAACATACGTGTGCATGTGTCTTTATAGTAGAAGGATTTATAATCCTTTGGGTATATACTCAGTAATGGGATTGCTGGGTCAAATGGTATTTCTGGTGCTAGATCCCTGAGGAATCGCCACACTATCTTCCACAATGGTTGAAGTAATTTATACTCCCACTAAGAGTGTAAAAGCATTCCTATTTCTCCACATCCTCTCTAGCATTTGTTGTTTCCTGACTTTTTAAGGATCACCATTCTAACGGGTGTGAGATGGTATCTAGGTCACTGTTTGGCGGGAAGTAAAGATGCTTCTCCAACAAGCTGATAAAAGGGCTGGCATGTGGTGTTAGCACTGATCACAGGATTACCTCTAGAGGAGGATAACCACCCTGGGGTTCTGCAGTCCCAGCAAGACCAGCATAGATATTTGGAACTTGCTCCTGTGTTGCATTAGAACTGAGAGGAATTAGGTCATCGGTTCCCTCAACTGGGAATCTAGATAAGGTTATAAGGAGAAGAAAAACTGGGGTGAGATGCAGCTCTTGAAGGGACAAGAGAGCAGGATCTGTTTATTTTGTGCATATTTGGGTTTTTCTATTTGTCGTCTGAATTTAAAAATATTTCATTTACTTTGGGAGTAAATATTCCCAAATAAAAAAGAGAACAGAGTGTATGTGTGTGTGTGTGTGTGTGTGTGTGTGTGTATGTGTGTTGTTCCATAAACACAATCTTCAAGGCCCCTTTGCCTTACTCTGAAGTGCCTCTTTAGAATAATAAGATGGTTTACTGTTGTTTATAGTAAACATCTTCTCTTTATTCTGTACTTGTTCCTC